AAGATCGTTCAGCAGTCAGCATAATCACTTGCTTGGAAAGGATATATCATCTCACACATTTGAAAGCACACCGTTAATATAATGATTATTTTTAGTCAATAATACTTTAGAGTAAAGAAAATTGTTAATAAATCTTGCAGTAACATGTTAAAGTATTGTGTTATCATCATCAATATAACTAACAAGGGAAGTTTCACAACTGTCCGGAACCGACTTAATTCTTTATGAAATATGTTGTTAAACATGAAAATCTAAGAGACACGTATTTTTTTTATACACCCCTTAAACATGAGTTAGGGCACGTATAAAAAAAAATACGTGTCTCTTAGATTTTCGTGTTTAACAATATATTTCATGGAGAATCAAATCGGTTCCGGATAGTTGTGAAACTTCCTTTGTAAATAATGCATATACTCATATATTGCAGCAGATTGTGTCAAGCATAATTAATGTCTTCAAGAAGCCAACAGCACACGCGATCATGAAAACATAATTTTACAAAAACAAAACATGCACAATATATATAAAAATAGTGGCTGCTGTTACTGCACACAGTTCCTCAAGTATTGTTATTGCTTATCGAGGTTACGTGCACATTGTACTGTAACGTCGATATTTATATTTTTGAATTTTGACTGTGCAGGTCCGTATCCTCAAAATCCAGGATATCCGCCACCACAGGAAGGCTATCCATATTCTCAAAATCCAGGATATCCACCACCTTATTCCGGTGGAAATCCACCAGGTAAATACAAGAATATTATTCAAACCACCTTAAATTGTCACAGTTATATATTTATTTTGTTCATGACCATTACTATTTTTTATAGGTCCAGGATTTATACCTCCACCGGGTGTTCCACCATACGGTGAAGCGCCACCACCAGTTGGTCCAGAATTTGGAGGAGTACCTCCAGGTCATCCAGGAATGTACGGATCTGGATATGGAGAAGATCCTATGCAGGATGAAGTCAAAGGATTTGAGTTCAGTGACAAAACTATCAGGAATGGCTTCATTAGGTAAATGTCAGATCTTAAAAATTTAACCGATAAATTAGAGCCCTATACGATCGAAGCTAGATCTTAAAATGCTTTAAATAATTCAATCTTGAATCACTAAATATGATACATATGTACTTGACATATATTTTCGCAATAAGTTTAATTACAGTTTTTTCAGCATATTAACATTTTTGAAATATGATGCCTGATTGAGCATCGAAATTATTAGAATTTAATTTAATTCGCGAAATTACTACAGTGGTTTAATTGTGTTTAGTCCGGAAATATTTCGGTGCACAGTTCGTTACTACAATTGTGATATATATGTCAAGTACATATATATCGTATTTAGTGAATCAAGATTGAATTATTTAAAGCATTTTAAGATCTGGCTTCGACCGTATAGGGCTCTAATTTATCGGTTGTATCTTTCACATACACGGTCTAAAAATGATATTATTGTTTAAAATTTAATATTCCCAAAGTATTTGATGAGCATATATATGCATAATTGTATTTTTTTATAGGAAAGTATATAGCATCTTGATGTGTCAGTTGATTATCACACTTGGGATGATTGCTTGGTTGCTTTATCATAAACCGACACAGTTATGGGTTAGGAGTCATTTAGAATTGTTCTGGATTGCTCTTGCCTTAACTTTGGTCCTGTTCATATGTATGGTTTGCTGTACCAATGTGAGACGTAAAGCTCCGATGAACTTTATATTCTTGTTCTTATTTACATTCGCGGAGGCTTTTTTGCTGTCCGTGACTGCATCAACATATGAGTCTCAAGAAGTAAGTTATCCGAAAAGATTTTATAATTTCAAATGCTATATATATGCAAAGAACTATGTTATTATTAAGTTATAACATGTAACAAGCGTGACATATCTACGTAGAGATGTTTTTTTGCAGGTCATGTTGGCCGTTGGAATTACAGCGGCAGTGTGTTTAGGATTGACGATATTCGCATTTCAGACAAAAATCGATTTTACCGGATTACACACTTTCTTGTTTGTTGCTGTGCTCGTTTTATTAATTTTTGGTATGGTTGCAATAATCTGGCAGGGAAAAGTTATGACTTTGGTTTATGCCTCGCTCGGCGCGTTTATATTCTCTATATATCTGATTTACGATACGCAAATGATGATTGGCGGAAAACATAAATATTCTATTTCACCGGAGGAGTATATCTTTGCCGCGTTGAGTCTGTATCTGGACGTCATCAACATCTTCCTGTATATTTTAACTATTATTGGCGCAACGCGAGACTAATTGATGTCAATTATGATATTTTGACTTGTGTTACACTTACTAAGGAATACATATAAAGTCAGTTTTTACTTACCGCCGTCCTGCTTTGGCTCTCTACAGTCATTGTTCTGAGAGCGCACTGTAGGCGAAGAAACAATGAAGTATAAAGAGGCATAATATTGGCAAGACTTTAATTTCTACGAAGATAGCTTTTACAAATTTTCAAAGATTAATATATCTACACAAATAGCACGCTTATACTTGAAACCTTTTATCTAGTTTCATAATGCATAATGTATTTCCCATAAGTTTAGGGAGAAAACCAAATATAAATTCTTGTAATTGCTAATGTATAGAATAGTACATCATCATTATTGTCATAAAACTCAATATTTATTTTTTGTCTCGTTTTGAATATTATAAAAAGCAGTGGTTATATGAGTCTACATATTTTATTTTTTTTTATTTCTTTAAAAGACTTAAATTTTTCCAATGTCAATGAGTATATATGTCTAATTATAAGTGCGTAAAACTAATTATTAATATATAATTGTTATAAATATATGTCATAGTGTGATAAAAACCGAACATTAGTTATAGTCAACATTATCTGGACTTGACTATAATTCCAGGCAACTTTAAAAGAAATATGGAGATACTTTTACCTTGTTGCCTATAATACATACATATACATATATAAAAGTTGATATTGTGTTTATTCTTTGTTCATATTTGAATAATAAAACATACAATTTACTTCTCTGGTATTTATGATCTTCTTTCGATTCCAAATAACTGCATAGTATATTGCAATGTATATATGTGTACACAATAGTATGATGCAATTCTTTTTTTCGACAAACACGTTAATACTATTCGCGATAAGACAATTTCCGTATAATGTTACGTAAAATAACAATTCTGTATAACGTCATCTAATATGAGAGAAATAATTAGATGAAGTAATTTAATAGCATCTCTAAAAAAATTATAAATCCCCAATTTGAATTATATTTATACAGGGTGTTTCACGAGGAAGGGTCAATATCTTGGGAGGTGATAGTATCGATCATTTTAAGCAAAAATGTTTATATAAACATATGCCCTTCCTCGTGAAACACCCTGTGTATATATACAGGGTGTTAGTTAAGTATGTTACCATACTCAACAGAGCAATTCTTTGGTTTATTTAAAGTAAAAAAGTCCATATAAACATGTGTCTTAAACGGCTTAGTTTCCGAAATACAGGTGAATGTTCGCAAATGTTTGACAAAATGATAAATTGCGTTGGAGATATCTTCCTGCATAAATATGCCTTGCTTCACGTGAGTTACCATTCGCACAACCGTAAACAAAGTGACAAAGTCAAAGTCAAAGTCACAAAATCAAAAATAGACTTTAGTTTTGATCTTTGAGCGTATACGTCAATCTTTGAGAAGAAGGCTCGATGGATGTATCATGGCGCAAGGTGGACATTTTCAACAATTCATCTAATCGTTTTATTTCATCAGAAGAACTAAAGCCTGTTTTTTGTATTTCTGTTTTTGACTAGTTTTTGACTAGTTCAAGCTGTATTTCTTTCAAATAAACAGATTATTACTATATACGTTTAAATTTTTTTATTTCGGAAATTAAGCCGTTTAGGACATATGTTTATATATGGGCTTTTTTACTTGAAATAAACCAAAGAATCCCTCTGTTGAGTATGGCAACATACTTAACTAACACTCTGTATATATATATATACATATACAGGGTGTTTAGAAAATAATGAAAAATCTTTCGTATAAGGGCAGAATGAACTAAACTGAGAAGAAAAGTCCTCTACCATTTTACAATTTTCGCAATAGTTAACAAGATATTAATTACTAAAAATTATCGAAAATTTTTTTTGATCTTTAATAATTTTTTATTCAAATACAATCAACTTTACAGAAGAACTGAAACAGATAAAAATTGTTTTTCTTCTCTTAACTATTGCGAAAATTGTAAAATGGTAGAAGACTTTTCATCTCTCAGTTTAGTCCATTTTACCCCTATGCGAAAGATTACTTTCCAAACACCCTGTATATATATAGCACATATACTATTATCTTTATAATACTTGCATTAAAATGTCTATATAATTATTATTAATGTCTGTTTAGCGACAATTTTGCATCTATAAATATGCAAACTCATTCCATGCAGGATGTGTATGTGTATGTGTGTATGTGTGCGCGCGCGTGTGTGTGCGTGTTTTGCCTAAGAAATAAAAACGACAAATTCGAAATTGCGAATATTTATATTTATAGTAAATTGGCCGTACACAAAACGGTAGAAGCTTTTGGTTTAAGTTCTGCCTAACTTAATGTACAAGTAAGCATTGTGGTGCGATTATTCACGCAGGAAAGCGTTCAATGTTCAAAAAAATGATCAAGATTAGAAGCCGACGACACTCATACTCACACCAACATGGTAACAAATTGCAGCCTCGTAATAAACAATATGTATAAACAATATGTCCTAATTGTTCTTTTTCGTGCAACGATGCAATGCTTTACGTGAAACATGAAGATTTTCATCAGCGAAGTCTGTTTAATTTTTTTTTTTACCACATCCGCATAAACTAATGAAACTTTGTTTATATACCACACATACAGTCGTAGGTACAATTGTATATGCATAAAATCGCGCGCGTATTTTTATAAACTTATTAACATTTATATAGATGTAATTAACATTTATATAGATGTAATTAAAAAAACATAATTTTTAAAAATATTAGATCGATCAAATCATTTTTATTAGCAATTTTCGATTGCAGCATAGAAAAACGTTTTTCCATCAGATCAAAAGTGAGATTGGATTATATCAGATCAGGCAGTGTCGTGAAGTGTTTATGTTATTATGTTTTAAATTACGCTCTAAATCTATATCGAGGGATCTATCCCAGGTGGCACGAGCTGATATATAGTTCGTTATGCGCCGTTAAAATAAATAATATATAAAATTAGCAGCATCGATTCGAATTTCTTTCTACCCTTCGATCAACCGTTACTCTATCGGGCGCGTCTTGTGGTTCTCTGCCGTGAGTTTTGTCCAATATTGCTTCTGCTAGTTCGCTAAATGCTCGATCGATATTGATGTTCGCTTTCGCGGACGTCTCCATAAATCTAATGCCATGTTCTCTCGCTATCTGTAAACAAGATAAAAATGTTGGTTAAAGAAATTACCATAGACGTAGTACAGATAGATCGAGTATGGCATGCGAGAGAGATATGATAAAACTCAAGTCTCTTCTTTTTCTAAAAGACAAAGAACAACTCGTTCTGCTTGCTTTAACAGATAGAAAACTTTTGTTAGAAAGAAAAGAAAGACCTGAGAGTATTTCTTCTCCCTCACAGCAGCAGGGGCCATTACATTCCCTAGCATATATGTTCGGTTTATATACTATGTCTACGAAAATTACCGTATTTTTGATAAAAGGTTTTATCATATTGCTCGTAATATATTAAGAAAATTTATCTATAGAATATTTACCGCTTCTCCTTTCTCTGTACTGACAACGCGTTTTTCTTCCATATCACTTTTATTTCCTAAGATCATTTTTTCCACATCTTCATTTGCATGCTACAAGATATTTATGACAATCATTATATGTTTAATATAAGAAATTAAATATAAATTTGTAAATTGTGGAGTAAATTATACTCACTTCATCAATATTCCTCAACCATTTCACGATATTTTCAAATGTCTTTTCGTTAGTAATATCATAAACAAGCATAATTCCCATAGCTCCTCTATAATATGATGTCGTAATAGTGTGAAATCTTTCCTGTCCAGCTGTGTCCCTGCAGATAAACAAAAAACACATAAATATATAGAAAAAATTTTAAATGTATACAAATTTTAAATGCAACTCACCATATCTGTAATTTGATTTTCTTTCCTCTTAATTCTACTGTCTTGATTTTAAAATCGATACCTGTAAGAAAAAAAAAACACTTATGTTCCATTCGACAAAAAGAATAAAACACAAATTATAATTTCGAGAAACTCTAGGTACATATTTTGTGCACCCTAATTATCATTACGAAAAAATAAAAATTATAGAAAGTATACTTTAGACACATTAATTATGGAAAAAAATCTTTCTTAGTTTTTATATTTTATTTTTATTAAATAATTATTTGTATATAAAAAAGAGAATAATTTGTATATTACTTATAAAATCATGTGCATCTCTTTTGTAACTTGTGCAATATGTATTTACGTTCATACAAATGAATGTATGACTCCGCTAAAATCTCGCGAAGCAAAGTGCAATTACTTTTTTTTTCTCAAAGAAAAACATGTTGGTAGTTACACTTGAAACACCCTGAACGCCATGCGAATATATACGTGTGCGTGCATACGCGTGTATGCACACGCACGTGTGACCCTCACACACGAAACGAAGCGGCGATCAGCTCGATTGGATTGAATTTTACGGGACGTGACGGCCGTAATTTCCAATCGAAGCGCCACGTTCTAACCTAATCGCTGGGAAAAGAATGCGAGCCAAGTTCGTCGTCGTCAACGAAAGAATCTCCATGACTCGCCTCTACCGGCCTTTCCTGATCTCCTTCCCTCACTCTCCGTCTCTTTCTCTCACCTATTGTGGAAATGAACGTGGTGGAGAAGGCATCGTCCGAGAAACGGAACAGTATGCAGGTCTTGCCGACGCCGGAGTCGCCGATGAGGAGCAGCTTGAACAGTAAATCGTACGTCTTCTTCGCCATTTCGCCGCCGAGGCAGTCTCGCGTCGAGGAGTAAGCGCCAAGAAGGAGGAAGTAAACAGAGTAAAAGGAGCACGGGCCTGCGGTGGTGCTGCGGTGGCTCGCGGTCGGCTGGTTGTCGCGATTAACAGCGACGATGCTCCGTACATCGAACGTTACGCACCGGTTATAGCCGCTCAAGGTCGAACGAGGGCGCGTCTCCCCGACGAGCTGCGACGTACATATACGTATGTAGACGTATCGTGTCGTATCATACGGGCGAACCGGTCGCGGAGAGGCGGCGGACTATTAAAAGACGGTGCGACGTCACGCGACGGCGGAGTCAACACGACGCAGAAGCCATCGGGGGTGATCGGTGGTAAACGCGGGGGTGACTTTCGGCACGTTCTCTCGCTCTCTCTCTCTTTTTTTTTGTCCCTTTCTTTCGTTGTCTCTTTGTATGCTCTCTACGACGTTCGCTACTATTCGCTACTTTGCACTCGGCTGACCGACAACACAACGCAAGATCGAACAACGCGATTCGGTGTTACCGGCTGAATGAGTGCGCGATTCGCCACGACATCGCGCGACGTCGGCGGCGAGCGACGGCGACGGTCCGAAACTACGGTATATTATAATTTTCTACGGATTCCTGCTTGTTTGTAATCGCAAAGGGTCACTTTTATCTTCGTTGATCGTTCAATAAAGGGGAACGAATGGAATTTTCCGTTATAGAATTTTATCTTGATATTTATGTGATGTTGGATATACATCGTTTTTGAAAACAGTTTATTTCGTGATAATATAAAAATATATCATGTGGAATTATATTGTGTATTTGATAAAAATAATAGTTGTTTTATTATGATATATTTATTAGGATATCTTTGGCTTAAATTTATTTTATTCGACCCGTGAAACATATTTCTGCATGTCTATGATAAACCGTTTTTATTGAATTTATTTAAATTTGCTTTGGTATTTATATATTACTTATTTTATCTCGATATTTGTGTAGATATTGAATATATTTATATATATATATATATCTTTTTAGATATTATTTTCATGTCGATAATATAAAAATGTATATATATATATATATCACGTGAAATTATCATGCATTTAATAGAATTAATATTTTCTTATTACGATCTGTTTATTATAGAATATTTTTTGTTTATTAAATTTTAAAATCTGTAAAGTGTAAAGTATATTTTACAATAAATTTTTTATTTTGTTACGAGATTTATTTAAATTTGCTGGAGAATTTTTTTACATTTTGAATATTAAATTTCAAAAACGGTCTTTATAGGTATTGCGTAATCACCGTAATAATAATATCAGAAACCGAGATCCGGGAAATACCGAAATAATGATGAATCTCGTTTCTAATGAAGATTGGATTCACATAAATAACTTGTTTCTCTTATATACGTTACGCATTCACAGCGATGTGATGTAATAAAAATCTCACACATTCTCGAATTTCCAGTACATATCAAATTGCTTCCTATTATATACATTTAAAAAATTATTATACTGTGATTATAAATATACACAATAAGGGAAGCTTTCCAACAAGAGACACAGATAACATTGAATTATTACGTCCTTGTTCGCCAATATTAAAGATGAAATAATCACTGTGTGTTACACAATGTCGCTCTTGTTTGAAAGCTCAGAAATCTCTCATTAGCGTTTTAACATATGAATGTATATATCGAATATATTGCTCGTTTGTTTGCAAAAAAGGACATAAAGAAAAAAAAGAAAAAATGTAACTTTAAAAATATTGCACGTACATCTATTTTCAAAATTGCTTGCGATTTGCAAAATATTCAAATTTATTTTCTGAAAACTTTGTATCGTTGTGTTGAAAGTTAACGATATAAGTTTCTATACCTAGATAAGCATATATTATGTTAAGGCTTTTACATGTACGTTACATAAAAGTTGCGCATATTAATCATATTTCGTAATTTCGATGAATGCACTTTAAAATATTCTTTATTGCATGTACTCATCAATAACCGTCTGCGATATCGATATTATGTAGATATGACATCAATTATTCGATTCCCACGTTTCTTATCGCTACACCAAATAGCCAAGATGCATGCGTTTGCAGTTCAGGAGCAAAGGTTGGCGCATATTTTTCTTGCAGTATGCGGTTGCAATACTCGAAGCATGCCTGCACGTTGGCTCCGCTGCTTTTTCACAAACATATATATATGTACGTACATGCCAAAGATAGCTAACTTGGCCTGCGTGGGCGAGAATTTCCCCTGTTCCCTCTGATCTCCTCTCTGCGTCACTGCCTCTGATGATCCATGATGTATTTATTGTCATTGTATGCCTACGTAATATTACAAATATAAAAGAGACAAAGGAAGATTTTAGAAGAAAAAAACGAAAAGGCGCAGTTACTAATATTTTACCGATTATATTGCAACTTTAATTTAAAAAATTTAAATTACTACTTTAATCTTGATTTAATTTACTTTTTATTTTTTATTTTATTTTATCTAGTTCTAGAAATTAGAAAAAAATAAAGAAATAGATTAAAATTAATCTCTGGAAGAAATGGACCAATGTGGATCAATGTCTTGCAATAATTGGAGTCTTTGAAAGAAACAAGAGATTCAAGGAAAACGATAATACCTTTCAGTATTTCTACAATATTTTATCTATTTTTTAAGTTTATGAATCTTTTTTTAGGATACAAAATTTAAACAGCAACAATAGCTTAACGTTTATAAATATGAAGTATAATTATAAATATGAAGTAGCCCAACACAAAGTTGCAGCAATATTGCAGAGATTTTGCAGCGATATTGCTGCAAATTCTGTGCTGTATGGGAGGTGATATTATATAAAAATGTCTAATTGTAGGATTGATTTTGTAGGGCCGAACAGCCATGTCAAACATGAATCAGATATGCTTCAATATGCTCTATCAACCGTACTTATGCTCTGAAACCGTATTTATGCGCATGATTTTTCGGAACAATACTGCGCGTGGTGTCCTTAAAAATATTCACGCACGCGCAAATTTTAGCAACGCGCTTAGCAGTAGTTCTCTCAGGCCCGTATTCAGCGATTACAATGATATTAGCGCGCTACATACTATACTTTACGTCACGCATATTATAAAATTTCAGAAACAAAACAAAAGCGCGTTCTGAATACGGGCCTCAGTCGCGTACACATTTTAGGCCTGTTCTTTTTGGCTGAACTTTTGCACCAATTCATCTTTCTTCCTTTTCTCTCCAAGAGAAAAGAAGAGCGAGAGGCATTTCACTTTCGAGTCACAGTGCGAGTCTTATAGCGTTTTTCACTGGCAGAACTAGTGCGCACTCAGTACACATTAAAGCTGTTGTACACTAACCTAATCTGAATGTAAAAGTGATATATCTAAATTAATAAAATACCCAACGTATATTTTATCAAATACTACAATAAAATTTATTGAAGATTTCACGGTTTAATTCGTTTCTATATTTTTGTTAAACGTACATCTTTACGTCGATTTGTGTACAACGGCTTTAAAGTGCACTGAGTGCACACCAGCTCTGCCAGTGAAAAACTCTGACTCGAGAGTGAAATGTCCCTCGCTCTTCTTTTCTCCTGGAGAGAAAAGGAAGAAAGATGAACTGGTGCAAAAGTTCAGCCAAAAAGACCAAGGCCTTTTTTTATCTCGATAAATGATTGTCGTTATATCCCCGTCGTGATAAACAAAGTTATTAAATCTGGACACGGGCATAAAAAACCTTACATTAAATCGTTTAAATAATATGCGTCAGTAATATGTTAAAAAAAAAATGTAATATGTTAAATTATTTTAAGATAAAAATGTGCTAATAATCCTAATAATATGATAATGTAAGAATTAATTTTAGTATAATATAAGATGTAATTTTAATAATGATAATAAAAGATGTAAAAATATGATTCGTAAGGCGTGTCTTGTGCTACTTCTAGGACATTCTAGGCACGATACTGTCGAGAAAATCACGTGGCTGTTGGTACGCACGCGCGCGAAAACGACGAGAATGATCGAACGAATGGTGGGGTCTTTCTCACGGTTGCTCATGGTTTGGGTTTGGGAACACTGACCGCGCGGCCCCGCGTTGTCGTCGTCATTCGTCAGCCGGTCGGCCTGCATGTGTGATGTGACATTGCTGTGCGTCACAACATCGTGCACTGTACGTATGTTTGGCGCGCAGTGTGAAGTTTACGTACGACGCAGTAGGTTAAATTACTGGCCACGTCAAGCTCGTGTGCGGGGACCGGGGGAAACCAAAAGAAAGAAGTAAACTAGGACGCAGGTGATCGTCTGTAACCATCTGCAACGTGCACGTGGTGTTGACGAGCCCGAGATCAGCGGTGTCGACGGAACATGGCAGCTAAAATGCAGCCCCCATTCGAGCCACCGAGCTCAGCGAGTTCCGAGAGGTATGTGTTAGGAGTGTCCTCTTTTTCTTTTTTTTTTTTTATTTCATAGCACATTCCCTCTCATCAACGTACATTGAAAATCAACGAAATTTTTATTACTGATATTTTGTCAGCGACGACGGCGACGCGTGTTTGGACGATCGCGAGATATTCCTCGCCGATGAGTTGTGCGAGGATGCTGAACATTACAGGCACTCTGACGTAGGCACGCCACAATCTCCAAGGCCACCATCCACAGGTAAATTCATTTATTATCGGCTTTCTCGTAAGATTTATCGTAAGATTTCAGTCTGATATGCCTGATCTTGAAGAGCAACTTTCTAACATCTACTTAGAACTCATTCTAATCTAACATGTAGTGGTGATTTATTTCTTTTATTAGCAGGACCTGTTAGTAGAATTAATAAGATATAATTATGTTAATACATCTGATGATATACATAAATTTCTTATGTACGTATGCAAGTACGTAATATTTATATGTGTTTTTGATAACAGAATGATTTATGTGTTGGAACTTACATCTGTTATTCATTGATAATGAATTATCTGTAATATAGATTGTCTCAGGAATATATGTAAATATCTTATGAATGAAATAATTTTTACAAGATAAAATACAAGCGAAATGTGAATAAAATATGCTTACGTAATAGGATAAGTAATATACATAAATAATGTATAGTTAGTGTACATATGTCATATTTATTAAGTCCCACATATGTATACATAGACGTGTTGTTTACAGAATCAATAACTTCAATGTACCTGTAAAAGAAGATTCAAACAATCCATCGTCTTAAGTTTCTTAATGAACTCCTAGAAGACATCCAATATGAAATATACAGAAGGTTTTCTTCTTACCTTTAATCCTATTCCTATATTCCTTTGATTAATTAAATCTTTTTATTATAATCCTTGATTAATTAAATCCTTTATTACAAATCATAAATAAAATTA